GTATAGTATTAATAACTTTTATCGACGAGGGTATAGAAACGATTTTTATTATTAATAGCGATAAGTATTTTAGTAATATTTATTTTTATAGGTCCTAGGAAATTTTTAATTCCTACTTCTTTATTTGATATTTTAGAATGCTCCTTTATTCGACTTTATAAGTGAGTTACTCTTTTTCCGACTCTTTAGAGGAAAAATACTTATTATTGTTTTTCAATATAGGTTTTACTTTAAGTTTAATTTTAGTAAATATAATGCTTATAAAGGGATATTATATTAATTAATCTATATAATTACCGATTATATACCCGTTGGCTCTATAACGGAAATAGAAACCTAAAATATAGCGCTTATTTCTTTCGTCCTAAGAGACTTATTTAATACGTTTAGCGTCTTTATTATTAGGGTTGCCCTTTATTTTAATATAGCCTATTATAATATTATTATTTATATTTTTAGGATATTTAAAGGTAGGGGTAGGGTTGCGCTAGAAAAGGGAGTTTTAGCGATAACTACTATATTTTTTACTATTACCCCCAATATTATAGAAGGCTTTACTAACTTTAAATTTTTGTATAATATTTTTTAATTATTCGATATAAATGTTATAGGTTTCGGGTATATAAATTATAAATAATTAACTATAAAGAGTATTAAATATAGAAAATTTTAATTAGGCTAGTTTAGAATTATTTTCCTAAGTAAAGCTTTTAATTTTCGTAAAGTTTTTTTCGAATGTAGGGAGTTAGTCTAATAAGGATTAATTTTCTCTTTATTATATAGTATATAAATTGGTTAGAGCTAGTCTTTTTTTATTCCTATTATCGAAGATTAATTTAAAGTAGTTAAAGAAATCTTTAGGTTTATAAGTATTATTAATACCGCTACAATACTAGAAGGCTTTTACTTTAATTATTTTATTAGCTGGGAGGGCGTCTAATAATATTAACTAGCCCGATTTATTATTAGTAATAGTTCCTGCCAACTTTTCTTCTTTATATATAAGGTGTAGTTAAATAATATAGAAATTAAATATAGAGGAGGTTCCGTCTTACTTTAACTAGCGGATATTTTTACGCTTAGAATTGCGGTAGGGAACGGCTTTTTATATAGTACCGATTGCGGCGTTCGGGGTAGTAATAGTTATTATAGTAATTATATTAATATTAAAGGGGTTCTATTAATTTTGAGTAGTAGGATATATATTGAACGTTATTTTTATTATTTGGGCGAATACGTTATTAGTAAATAATATCCTAACGAAGTTTTTTTTTTTATACGAGGCGTACGGTTTCGTTCTTTGTAATTTATTCTTATTTTATAGCTACAGCGGCTATAACAGCGAAAAATTCTATAGGAATTCTAATTGCAGCCATTTGGGTAGGTAAACCCTATTACTATTATTGTAGCGTTTATTTATTTTGTTTTATTGGGTCTATTATAATAGAACCTGATATAATAGGGATAGTATAATTAATATAGGTATTAGTCGTATAGTTTAATTAACGTTCTATAAAGAAGGAAAGTTTTATTTAAGAGGCAGCTCTATTGGAGATACGAGGTTTTGATGGGGGCTGTATAAATATAGCTACGGCGCTTTATGATAGCTCTGGTTGATGATTAGAGCGGTATAGCCCAGGCCTTAGCTCTATGACAGAAAGTATTAAATACCTTTCTATAAATACTATTAATTTTCGGCTAAATAAAATTCGGGATTTATAATTCACGCCCGAATTTTTATAAATTTAGGAGATTACGGGACTCCTTCCCGGTAAATTAATTTTAAAGAAAAGTATACTTATTTTATTCTTATATAACTTATACCCCGAGAATGGTATATATAACGGTACTAGGTTAATAGTAATTAAATTAAGTAAAAACGTAATCGAGGCGAAGATTTTAAGCGGTTCCTTTACGGGCTAATTACAGATGATTCTTCGTATTACATTGATTGATATAGAGAATAAATAGGTTTATTAATTAAAATATATATAATTTCCGAAATTATTTTATTTTTTTATAATTATTAATAAGAGTTAAGGATAATTCTTCCGGGTTATTAGCATTAATTTATATAATCTAGTCTTTAATTATAAGTAGTTGTATATAGCTATAAATAAGATTACTATATTAGAAAAAGTCTCCGTATTCTTATATAATATTAAAAGCGAAGAGGATAAGCGTTTACGTAACGTTATAGCCGGAAGCATTAATTTAAAGGTCTCTATATATATTACTTTTACTCTTTTCTTTCCTTACATCTACTTTTACCTTTATATTTTATACTAATATTATACCTAATCTTATACCTAGTTTTATTATTACCTATATATATACTCTTATATTCTTAATCGATTATTCGAATATATTATCATATCTATAGGTTATTATATTATATAAGGGGGTATTAAATTTCGTATTTTAATTAGGGTAGGAACCTCTAATTATAGTACAAATTACTTATTAATACCGAATTTAATACTTTCTATTATAATTTACACACTGAACCTATATAAACTCTATACTTTATACTATAAAAACCCCCTTACTTATCCTTCTCTAGCCTTACAATAGCCTTATAGTTTATAATAAATATAGTAGAAAATTAATCTCCTATAGTATTTAAAGCCGTAATACTTATAATTAGAGTGGGTAGTAATATATAAATATACGCGGGGGTAGTAAGGAAGTATAGGGATACCGGGCCATATTATATATATTATTTATATACTTTACGAAAATATTTTAGGGGGTTATACTATAATAATAATATATATTAATTTTAATTTATAGAGTATAAGTGAGAGTACTATATTTATACTATAAAGTACTATTAGGTAGTAAATTCGGGGTAAATAAGCCTATCCTTGCGGGCTTTCTTTATAGTATTAAGGGATTTAAAGTCCTCCGAAAGTTCCCTTCTAGAACGGCGTATAATATAGCGTACGGAGCCGGGAATATCGCCGTTAACGTTAACGTTGTAAAAGGGGTATATATTATTATTAGTATTATAGTAGTAATTATTATATATATTCTTATAAATATTAGGTAGCGAATAATATACTATAAATATACTACAGTTACTATAAATATTATAATCGATTTCTTTATTAATAATTGTTAATAATCATACTTCTATACGAGTATTATAGGTAGTATCGATTTCCTTAGCCTAAGTATTATTAAAATAATTTTTAAAAATTAGATCGCGCTTCTTCTACATATTTATTAGTATATAAAAAGTAATAAAGTAAAAGTGTAATATAATTTACGGATATACCGGTAGCTATCTTCTTATAATTGCCCGAAATAGAAATATTCCTATATTTAATAATAAATTAATCTAAGAAATTATCGCCGTTAATAGTAAAGCTACTTAATTTAATATTATCTTTAATTAAAGTTTTAACGCATTTGTAAATAGCTTATTAGGTATCGTTAAAGGTTTTAATATCGGTTTATACGATTTATTTAAATTAATCGTCGTCTTTAAACTATTTATTTTCGTCTTCCTTCTTACTTTGTTTCTTTTTACCGCGGTTACGAACTATAATAATGAAGTGGGAATTGAATAAAACTAGTATTAGTATATCGAGAAAAAATAAGCGTGCGTATATGTAAGGTACTTATTTATTTAATCCTTAATGCGCGCGCGCTTAATTACCAGGGTAAGGGTAACAAACGGGGGTGGAACGGGGGCAGAAGGATTAGGAGGGTAGTAGTTGCGGTAAGAAAGGGAAGGTTTCGAAAGCGGGTCAGAAATTTTTGCTAAATTCGTTTGTATGAGGGGTAGGTGTACGGACTCTTTGCACGGACCACCCCAGAATCCAGCTCTGTACGGGCCACAACCCTGGATCCAGCCTTATACCCTCACGGAAGGGTCGAGGACAGCTTGCTGGCCTCCCCGAACACTAGTGAGGGTGAGTGGCTGCTTATACCATGCAGTTGGTTCTGTTCATTAAGAAGGTAGCTAGACGATTTAACGACAGATGTATGTACTCCAAGCATAATTGAAATTGTAGAATGCCTCAAAAACATACCAAGTAAAGATTGTTCTCAAGAGTCAAGATGGTGTTCGTTCATTCTTCCAATCGGGAAAAGAACGTCATTAGACGAGCGGGACCCAGAGGATGCATACCGTGCGAATGATTTGCGAGTTTATTTAGCGGGTACATGCCGCCCATCACTCCATAATCAGCCTCTGATCCGGCGGGTTATCTGGGCGTCAACTCCCATCTTCTTGTGATCATCGCTCTTTGTCCTACCTTGACTGCTGGGGGCAATTGAATTTCAGCCTTATATATGGCTCCCAAGGCCGTAAGACTTGGAATCCTCATTTTGGTGTCCATTGATGCCAGCATGTTTCTTCACGAAGGAAGGATGTTGAAGCTTATGGTGGACAGGCTCCGTTGTTGCTGGCTAGTCGCTGCTGCCCCCTGGCGGCACTGCCTCTTTCGGCCATGGTGTGGTGGATCCTGTGTGGCTGCCACCTTGGTGTTCCACTTTCCTTGTGGGGAGAGGGTGGAAGAGCCTTGGCGCCCAAAGCCAGAAAGGCACCTCACCCACCACCCTCGAGTACACAGTATCAGCGACGATAAGGTGCATTGAACGGTGAAGTGGAAGTTGGCTACGCAGGCACTGGCAGGCCGGAAGCTTCCCGTCATGGAACCTCAACACCTAGCAGTGCTACCTGTAAGCGGCTGACCGTCCGCTGCCGCTGGAGCCGTGGAGTGGTGTGCTGGGGTTGGAACTTGTTGAATGCTTAGGTTTCTTTCCTTGCCAACTGCTATGCCTGTTCCTTCCAGGCCCATTTGCTTCGTTCCAACATCGAGATTTGAACTTCTTTCATATTCTTTCCGTCAGCGGGCATCTGATGGACCGACTCTGGGCCTCACCGTCTTCCTGCACCCGACCAGAGCGATTTCCACTGGATTCCAGCTCAGCGCCCCACAGTGGCGCATCGTTTGGGCACACCTTTAGCAGTCAAGTGCTCTCACTAGAGCAATCGCTACCACTACCACGACAGTCGCGACAAGCACCAGATCAATTACAACGACATCTACAGCCCTTGCGACGACGTCAAAGAAGCAGCCAAGACATTCGATCGCAACTACAACTGCAACTGCATCCACGACAGCAGCACCAACTACACGATCAACATCGGCGGCGGGGACGGCGGGGACGGGAAGAACGACAAGGACCAGGGCGAGGACAAGGACCAAGGCGGGAAAGAAAAGCGAAACACGAGGTTGCGCGACGGTGCTGCTTCTACGATTCCCAAGGACTCCGATATTCCTCAATATGTACAGCATGTAGACAATCGCCGCTGCACTGCTGTCTGTCATCTTCAACCATGCCGGTGGTTTATCCCTTCGACCTTCGGTTTGCGCCATCCGCAGCTCTTGCACCAGATCGAACATTGGAATTGGAGGATGGAAGCGTTCAAGTTCCGGGTCTTTGTCCAGGTTCCGCTGTCTGTGCCCACATGCCAGCGGGCTGCTGCGTCGACTGCGCGGACATGACATCTCAGAAAATGATCCCCTCAGGCGCCTCATCATCTCGGACGGGACGCACGGACAAGGACGGCCCAAGGTCAAGCGCACGCATAGCCCCTGGCTCACATAGCCGCCTGCTGCTGCGGTTATCTGGCAGGTTGAAATGCCTCTTTCTCTTGGCTTTGCAGTTGCTCTGGGTACAATCCGCTACGGCGGTTCTGATCCCGTGGGTCAATTGCCTGGACAAGTCCTACCAAATGGACAAGCCGACACGTCTACAATGGGTGCCTCTCTTTGTCGATGCCTCGTTCGATGATCAGGACGACAGACACACGCTAAAGCTGACCATGTGGGGGAATGTGACGGGCGTGGCTTCTTCTGGAAACATCACGCTTCCCCCGCCCGGCAGTCCGGACTGGAACGACACATCCAAACAAGATGGCAAGATTGTCGGCGTGCCAGAACCGTTCTCGGCCAATCCAAAGGTCACCACTCTTTTTACGAATATCAACGTTCTCACGTATTCTGAGGCTACGGAACGCACCGACTTTTGCAACCAATCTTTGAGGAACGCACACTGTCCTTTGGGTCCTGTCTGGGAGGTTAACAGGTAGGTTCAATCTCGCCCGTTCCTCATGACTGAAGGACTCGACACTTGGCCTTTCAAGAGTTATTGGCTGACTATGATCTCAGCACGAATCGGGAGCATCTTCCCTATGTGACCTACACCAAAGACTTCTATTCATCCTATGCTTTCAGCTCCTTTGCCTCCAAGTTTTCCATCGTTTACGGAGATTCTGGAAACACCCAGATTGGCTGTCTCACGGCTACCGTGACGCCTGACCTAGGAAATCTGGGTTGGATGCTCAAGTTCCTGCCCCTAATAGTCCTGGTCTTCGTCGGAGTTGCCACCATCTTCGCCGCCATTTTTAGTCCGTGGGGCACCAGCGATGTTTTCCACTGGACATCCAACTACGGCCGTGACCCCGACCTGCTGCGTTTGGTTACGCCAGGGTTTGGAGATTGCCTTCAGTACATACAATTCGTCGTGCTAACCGGCGGCCTAACCCTCAATTATCCGGGCTTTTACCAACCGATCGTCAGCCAGGGCTCATGGTCGGCACTAATGTTTAATCAGAGCTTTGTGAGCGACAGCCCTGGGTGGATAAGCCTGCGAGATGGCATCTATTTTACCGAGGGCAAGTACGGACTTGAACGACTTGCTCACTTGGTGGGAGTGGGGGAGGTCGAAGACATCTGGGCCGGGATGATGGTGTGGCTAATGGTCATCATCGGAGCCGTTTTTGTCCTTACCCAGGGAGCCTTCTTGGTCAAGTGGCTGTATCGTTCCGTTAGGCAGGTTCCCGAGGAAGATCTCCGACACAAGAACCTCCCATTTACTCTGGGCAACGTGGTCAGACTTGTCTTGAACTACTTCCTGCTACCCATCGTTGCTCTCTCGACCTTTCAACTGGTGGTAGCAACCCACTCGCCAGCTTACACAGTCGCACTGGCAGTTGTCACTTTGGTCCTCATCATTGGCTTTGCCGCATGGCTGCTTCACCTTATTGCTACCTCGAGGCCAAGGGCGTTTCTCTTCGATGACCTCCCTACGGTGCTTCTTTATGGGCCCCTTTACAACACTTACTCCGATGAGGCGGCGGCCTTCGCACTTATACCAGTTTTCCTGAGCTTTCTTCGAGGCATTGCCATCGGAGCTGTCCAGCCTGCTGGAGTAGCTCAGGTGGTCCTCCTCGCCATCTGCGAGGTCATTCAGATACTGACCTTGCATGCCTTTCGCCCTTTCCACTCTCCAACCTCGATGAACGCCTACCACACCCTCTTCAGTGGGCTCCGTCTCGTCAGTATACTCATGATGGTGGCCTTTGTACCGTCGCTAGAGGTTGAAGAAGGGCCAAAGGGCTGGGTCGGCTACGCAATCCTTGTCGTCCATGCCGGCGTTCTCGTTCTAGGATTCTTCCTGAACGCAGTCCAAACCATTGTCGAAGTTGTAGCGCGGCTGTTGGGGGCTGGTGGAGATGATGTTCGAGGGCAATCGAGGGGTGGACTATCCAAGATCTTTGGCATGCGACAGTTGTCACGCCGTATGCCCAGGCGTGCGGGTGGCCCCATCAGACACAGTCAACTCTCTAGCGCGGCGATGCTCGACACGGACGAGACATTCAAAACCGGTTATGTTATGAACGGAGGCCACATACGGAGCGAGTCGGCAGGGAGCATGGGGCTCATGACGAAGCATCGCCGTCATAGCTCGTCTGGGCTTGAGGACGTCAGCCTCAACACGGCCGTTCGAAATCTTGACCATGGATCGTTCACGCCGACCACACCTGGAGAGGCTAGTACGTTCTCGTTTGCGGCTTCTGCCCAACCTCAAGGACGATCTCCTAGCGCATTCGGCATGCCGACTGTCGACCCCTACTTTAGACCACCTCGAAGGCGCACAACCAACGAAAGCGCGTACTCTCCCGATGCCAAACCAGGTGGTTCGTGGACTAGCGCCGACTGGTCACAGAAACGCCTAAGCCAGTCAGGAGTACCGCTCAACGACACCGCGGAATTTGATCCTCAAATGTCGAGAAGTGCCAACCCTGGTCCTTATATGATCGCGTATCCGCCAAGGACCGATTACACCACTCGCGAAGTTGATTACTATTACGGTCTCAGAGGGGAAAGGCTCAACTCGGACGCGCCTAGCCGCAAGCTCGGAACCGGACCGGCCGACCCAACCGGGCCAATGGCTTCGGCGGCTGGGTGGCTTCGGAACATTCTCGGTAGAAGCAGCAAGGAAAAGGGCAAGGGCTTTGAAGTAGTGAGGAGTGCGCGTATGCCACCAGCAATGCGTACCGGAGCGGTCGACTACGAGGATGAATCGCCGCCCGAAGGAATACCAGTGGCGATGGGAGTTATCCGTAATGGGCCGATTGAATCCGACGAAGAGGATAATGTGCGACAGGCCAATGCAGACCGGGACACAGCAGCTCGTACAGCAGCAGAAGCGGTGCCTCTTAGGGCAGCAGAGGGTACCAACGATGATGTGCGAGACGACACGGAAACATACCACGACTCGGAAGGTTTGCCAACTGAGCCGGACCTCGCGACAGTTAGCCAGTCTAGTAGGGCTCAGACAGTTACCCGCCGCGGTAATCGGACTTCGAACGAGGACAACGGCCCGTCTCCGCTTCTTTCGCCGCCGCGGAGAAGCTCCAAACGCAATTCTTACCACCACACACGCAACGGCTCCGTTAGCAACACACCTCCCGCCCAGCCAGTTCTAGAATCCGGTCCTCAACAACAAAACAGGCCCGCCTCGTCACTGGCGGTGTCTGCACGCCTTCCCTTCGAACGCACCAATTCGCAAAAGAGACTGTCCAGCTCCTCGATTGGTGTAAGCGAGGATCTGAGTTCCGCTGACGCTTATGGAGGATCCAGAACGGGATCAGGGTTGAATGAAAGCTACGGATTCGTGAACCAGGGGAACGTAAATAGGGTCGAGCAGGGTCACGAGCCTGATCTGTTAGGCAGTGTGGCGGAGGTTGGGATAATTGGCCGTGACAATTCTCGGGGGAGCAGTCAAACGGGAAACACATCAAGGTACTCAGGGCTATGAAATGAAAGAAAAGAGTGGGGAGCTAGCTCGGCTATAATGTGTTCCATTTTGTTCACTTTTCCTTTTGATTTTATGTTGCCTTTTTCGCTCCCAGTTTAGATGGATATCGAAAAACGGTTATATAACTTTATGGTTTTGAGAGTTTAGCGATGGCGTACACAAGCGACTACAAAAATTGCTATGTTTTGGAGAATCCACGATGCCTTTTGCTTCTGTCCGACGAGTTGGCTTTGGTTTTGTGCATTGCGATATATGCCTTTTCACCCATAATTTGTGGTCACTCAGTCTTCTTGATCCTTGCGTATACTCACCACACTCGACTTTGTGGACCTTTTTGACTTGGCTTTCAATCAACGTCTTCAACAACATTTTGCAATTTCGTCATTCGTGTTGACCGTTTATAGATTTGGGACGTTGCTAATCATGATGCATACGTACAGACCAAGACAGAATCTCATGGCTCCTTAATTTCATTCATGACTTCGTTGATATCATAACTGCAAAGGAAAAGGTACCGGCCTCATTAAAGGTACCACTTTCGCGCTCCTCGTCACTCCGTTCGTTACTTTCCACTCAAGTGTCCGTCACCGATTTGCTCAAAACCGATAGGGGTAAGCGCCTCCCGAGAGCGCAGAATCAGAGAAGAGCCGACACCGTCGCCACCACAACGGCAGCGACAAGAATGCCGCTAAAGCCTCTGCGCGAGGACGCCCTGTTAGGAGCACCCGTGCCAAAGTAGAAGCCGCTGGCGGTCGTGGCGGTCATCGAGCACATGTTATTCTCTAGACCGTGGCAAGCCACGCTCGACAAGCTGCTGCCTGTAAAGAAGAAAGAGAGAACCAGTTAGCGGGATGCCCCTCAAAAAAAACCCGTTCAAGGACCAGCAGGGCAGCTAAGACTTACAGATGCTGGAAGCACTCGCAGGCCCAACCGTGGTCCCGACATTAACGCCCACGGTCGTCCCTGCGCCGCCGGGCACCACAATGGTGACGCCGTACTGGCCGCCTAGCCCGTCCAGCTTGTCGCTGCAGGCAACGTAGTTGGCGCTGCATTGGCTGACGGCCGAAGAGCATTGCTCGGCGTCCGGGAAGTACGTGGCGACATAGGGGAAAGAGAAATACGGGTTGACGACGAAGGAGACCGGCGCGGTTGGGCTGGGGGCGGCGAAGCCGGCCGGGGCGGTGCCGGTGCAGACGGCGCTGTGGTGCAGGTGTTAGTGAGTTTTCTTTTCTATGATATGAGGTGTGAGGTTTTCATCACCACCCAACTCTTTGATACAATACGCAGGCAAGAATGCTTGTGTACCGTAGGGATGAGTTGAGTTGGGGGTCAGTATGACAATATGTTGATGTTGTTGTTTACATACTTTACAGGACAGCAAGCCGGTTGGTTGCTCTGATCAAGGGCGCAGGTGTAGCCGTACTGGCAACATACGTCGCTGAAAGCAGCTCCTACTCCTGAGCAGCTGAAGAAGTTGGAGATGCATCCCTGCCGTTTTTCGAGTCCTGTGCTGCCACTGCCGTCGTTGTTGCTGAGTGCCCTCGCTGTTTCAACGGGCAGGAAGGGCTGTTGAGCGTGGACGACGGGCGACTGTGATAACGAGAAGACCAGGAAGGACAGCACAAAGGCTTGCCATGTCCCGAAATGATTACCCATGATGCAGTGGTAAATCTGTATGATCGGAAGTTGAACCAAATAAAGTCGGTAAGAGGGATGTGGCTAGAAATGGTTCGATAAGACCTGAGTGAGCTTGAGATGAGCGTGCTATCAGCCCCGTCCGGTCTCTGAGGCTCTTTCTCGATGAGGCTTCCGGATGAAGTCGGTCAGCAGCAGCAGCAGCTCAGACCAGCCACAGAAGTTATGAGTGAAGAGTGAATGAGTTTCCAGAGCATCCAGGTGGGAAGCCTATATGCAAAACCGAGATGCAACCCTGCGCATCCAGGGAACCCGGGAGGCTGGAAATCGTGGTTGGTACGGCGTGATAGGACTTGGCGAGCCCACCATCGCGGCGGGCTGACAGGGTGCTGGCACATCTCAGCTACGAGCAAGCGCTTGTTGGTGCCCGCGAGACTGGCCGGTGTTCCCGTCTCCCGTCACTGAAAACCTTCTAGAGAAGGTGCTTCTGAGTAAAGGGTCTACAGTCCAATACTGGTTTGTTTGTTAGCTCGAGACTTCGGGTATAAGGTTTGGGATAGCCCGGGATAGATTTCGTCCAAAATACTACACGTGTACGAGTACCCCAGCTAACAAACAAACCAGTATTAGATTGTAGGACTGTATTGACCAATGATGTGTCTTCAATACAGGCTATACGGTTGTCGTGTAAGCTAACCGATTGAAGCAAGCAAGGATTGCGCAAAGAAATGATTCAAGGATGGGAATATGAGATTGAGTGTACACTGTCAGCCCTAAAAGCCCATCAGGTGTTGAATAATAACATCTTCTTTCTCGAAAGGCATTGTCTGGTGTGTGTAAGGGTACCTAGAATTGTTGATCTAGGCGATAGCCTCACAGCTACCATCTCTCCACCGCTTGTGTAACATTCAGTGATGTCATTTGTTGGCCGAATCAGCACTCAACACTCAGCACCGCTGCCACAGCAACCACCACACACAGTACGGGGGTAGCCCAGCGGGTGTGTAAAATACATACGATCCATACGATCCATACTCTGCCTGTCGCCCATGCTAATTAGCAAAAGGTTTCGAAAGGTTTGCAGCAGAGACCAAAATGAGTTCAAGATCCCTTTGTCTATGATCCTTGTCTCTTTTCAGCTGGAACCCCACCGTCGGCATTCTCATATGAAGCTATGATGCTTGCTGTTCTTCTCCGTGGGGCTCGATGGCACGTCGACTACTTCAACTCCTAGCAACTGAGATGGCGGGTACACGGGGTTCAGTCATTTCAGTATCCGGGCGATAACACACAATCAACGTGCCCATGACCGTTGAACCGGGGCTGTTTCTGAACGGGCCGTGACTCTTGTCTGGACGTTCCCGAATCCCCTCCGCTATGCTCCCCGCAAATGTCCGAGAATGGCGCGGAGCCGCAAGAGAGCTGTTGGCTCCGGCGGCCTTTCGCCCGGCTTGACTTCCTCTAGTTGTTTTACCTCCTTCTTCGCTTCCTCCACCAGCGCGCCCAGGTCTCCCCAAACCTCGTCGTGATAGCCGGTCAACACGCGAGACCACTGATCGATCCATGTCTCCCAGCCCTCACTCACGTCGTCCGTGCCCAGCAGATCCCTCGTACTTGACGCCGTTGGAAACCCGAGCAAGGAGGGCGGGATGAAGTTGAGCGCGTGATCCCACGCAATAGGCGAGGGGCTGGTGCTGAGATCGTCTTGATTTCCGAATAAAGCCTTGCGCAAGCTAGCCATGTCGTCTGGCGATATCGTATCCTCCTCCGGGCCCGCGAGCTCTGAGTCCAGATCCAGATGGCCTGAGAGCAAGGCTACCACTTCCTGGCCATCGCGGGCTTCCTGTTCGGCGACAGTGGATGCCGGAAGAGAAGGAGTCCATTGGTTGTTTATTGTTGGTACTGTTGAGCTCGGAACATTGCTTCTCATATGCCACGTCCCTTGCAATCCGTCTGTTCCTTCGGGCGCCGAAAGAGGCTCGGTGGTGTCGAGAAAGGCGGCGAATTCGGCCTCTTGCATCGCAACATGTTCTTGTGTTTGAGCTGACCTGATGGCCTCGGCGCCATGAGAGGCAGAGTGAAGCTGGGCAGAACTCTCACCCACGCGCTCGAGACTTTCCGTGGCCCTTGGCGCTGCCGCCGCCGTTCGTGAGCCTTCTCCCTTCTCGCCGTTGCCTAGCCCTGAAACTGCGCCGGCCATGTTCTCTTTTGAGAACAAAGCTGAAGGTAGTGATGTTGCTGACTTGGCGATGCGGGCAAGCAGGTCGTCCCCGCCCCCGGTCTGCCCATTGTGGCCGACATCCTCCGACGTCCCAACATCCTTTCCTTTGCCCTTGGCCTTCTCAGGTATTGACCCTTTGCTCTCCATCTCTTGTTCATAAAACGGATTGGTGGTTGTATATATCCAGTGATACGTTGAGATGGTTAGATGGATGCGCTAATGGAAGAATTGAGAAAAAAGAGCCGTACCAACGAGATGATGATAAGAATGAGAAAAGGAAAAGAAATCAAGAATCAGCAACGTGCTGCCCAATGGAGGCCCTGTGACCTGTCTGGCCCGGGCCGGGGCCATGATGCGGACGGTGGGAGGGTGGGTATCAAGCAACTTATATAGTCTAGTCCCGGCTCCCGGGGCCTAGGTTTCTTGCAATGTTGCGGATCCCCCGAATTACACGTGCTTTTTGGATGATTCATGCAACATGTGCGTTTTGACATTTGCCGTGCGGCTACAGCAGCGACTGGAAATTTTAGACTCCTCGGATTGAATGACATCTATCTTGAAACAGATATACCAGATCTGCCACATTTTGCTGTCCGGTTGCGAACTTGACAGTCGGGCATGTCTCCGTTAAGCCCGGTCCCGAGATAATTGACAGCTGCGAACAAAAGACGGAAGCTGAAAGAGCTGCTGCACTTAGGCAATGAACAAAGAACGACAGGACCACAGGGCAACACATGCCATTGGCACGATAACCCCATGATGCCGTCAAGGGACGGAGAGACACACTTTGCTATGTTGATCCATAACATATCTCTACAAGTTCAATAGCTAATCAGATGGTGCAAAGAGACCATGCCTTTCCAGTGTTGATGTAGTGTAGAGGTTGTAGTATATCTCGTAGTTGTAGTCGCCGCCCGGGATGGAATGGACCCCGCAATTGCTCACTGGCGGAAGCTGTTGGAAGAAGTGGAAATGAACCTACGGGCGGACATAGAGGCTGTGCGTTGAAAACGCAGTGTCAGTCCCCACTTTTGAATTGAGCCGGCAGATACACACACATCGTAAATCCGTCGATACGTGACAATAGTAAAATCTTCAAACGCCCATATTATCACCAATCTTGAGGGTATTTACAATCCGATTACTACTATATACTCGCATAGATCCTTCTAATCGATTAAAGTTAATATTAAAAGGTCCCAATCAATAGGCCAGTTTATACCATATACGCTTCATACTAGGCACCGCCGCGCCCGCCTTAATTATACCTCTTAAACACTCCCTTTTTAACGATAGGGATAAACCCCGACGATCGAAGCGGCTTTCAATACCTAATGCCCGTATAGCTCGTATAAACGCTGGTTTAAAAGACGGAAATGGAGATAATAAAAGGACTCCTACTTGAGCAGCGTATACTATAAACGGTATAATTACTACAAAACTAACCCAACTAGCTAAATCTAATCTACGCATTATTATTCGAAACTCTATATTAAATAGCGGTAATACTTCGAAACTGAAGAAGGCTAATACTATTAACAAATAATATACAATCTCTATTACAATTCCCGCTGCCTCCTCAAATAATTTAAAAATTATATTCAAACTTCTAATTTCCTCCCTATCGACCGCTCCCCCAACTACTTCGACTACTCTTCCTCCAACTACCTCGACCGCTCCTTCTTCAACTCCTTCGACCTTTCGAATTCCCTTAACCTTTTGAATTCCTATTATTACTTCGTCCTTTCGAATTCCCGCCCCCCTTTAAAATTATAATTAAATTCCTAAATTACTATATCGTCGAATTAAAAAGTAATAACTTCCTTACTACAAAACCCTAGCTGATAATAAAAATAAAGACTATTTATTACCGATGGTAAATAATAGTTGAAAATTATACGAAGAATATATATATTCGCTATAGAAGTTATAAAGCGAAGTCGAAATTAACGAGCGAATTAATACTATACTTCCTACTCCCCATTCTCGTCAGTAATTAGCTTAAAAATCCTGTACTATAATAATATTTCGAAGGCCGCCCCTAATCTCCGACTTTCTATATATTTTATTTATATATAACGGACTATAGGTAGCGGATACCTATTTTAATAATCTCCTTATATAGTCCAGCAAATTACTTACTTTCGTTTCAACTAACCGTATTCGAATTGAGAAAAATAATAGCGGTAGTATCAATATAAAGGATTATAATAATTTTAGTATCGAATTCGTAATTAAAGTACGGAAAGTAAAGGGCAACCTTATAAACACAACTTACAACGAATATAATTTCTTCGGTATAAACCCTAATATTATTATACAATATATAAATTAATCGGTTAATATATAAGAGAAGAATAAAAAAGGTACTACGCTTTATTAAAATTATATTATCCCAAAAAGAAGTAATTATAAAAATTTAATTACGCTATTTAAGTATTATAATATTTCGAAGGTAATACACAATTTTCTTTAATAACCCGTTAAACGATATTTTATTATAATCACCGCTTATATCTATATTATTAGGGGACTCCCGCGGCCAAATACTACCTCTATCTTTAGTACGCCTACCCTATCTCGAATTACCTCTTTTATAGAGTGGTTAATTAGTTACAATATTTCCCAATTCCAATTATAGTCCTAGTTCCAATTATGGTCCCAATTCGTCAACTCCTACCATTAATTATTTATACCTATTACCGCGCCCGCCGCTACGTCCGTTAATACTTCTAAATAATTTAAAATAGCTAGCTCTAATCAAAAATTAATAATTAACTTAATACTATACGAATTCAAAAACCGCTGCGAAATTAAGCGCGAAGCCTAAAAGAAGGGTAGAGAATCATTTAATTTACTATACAATAAATTAGTCAAGACGTAGGGATATAAAGCTAAGCGCAAATATAAGAATTACTATAAAGAGTAAAAATAGTATTAGTATTATATTATACCTAATTAAAAGTATTACTTCCCCTTAATAATAAAGGATTTCGTTAATTAAATTCGCACTATTATTAGTAAATAAGCTACTATTAATATCACAGGGCTAGCCTATAGTATGGTTGCACTGTACTAACTACACATATACTATACCAGAGCTGGTGCTATAGCCTAGAGCCATATACGCACGCACTAGTCATATATTCTAATTATATATAATCTCACGTACGCGCGCACAAATTAGCCTACCTAAGCTCTCGCCTATATAGCCAATCCTCTATACACACTTCCCTTTCTCTCCTTCGTATAATAACGTATATCTTACCCTACCCTTAATAATACTCTTTCGCCCCGTAATAATTTATTATACCTAACTATTACGCTGCGCGCACTTATTTAAGGGAAGAGTAATTATAATTAATTAATTTCAATCGTTACGACGTTATTAATTTAATATTATTGATTCGAAGTTAAAACTCGTTTCTATACGATTAAAACCCCGCGTTACAATCCCAACCTCGAATTAAATAAACTACTAAACCGAATATCGCTATTAAACGGCTCGTACTCTCTTTTCCCTTTTACTTACTTAGCGTATTAATTTAATAATTAATATTTAGTAATATCGTTTTATATACTCCCCTAATAACTGATAACTTTCTTATTATTACCGCAATCAGCGCCTTCGCTATTCTAAATCCAGCTAATTAAAAATATTATTCTAATATTATTTAAACATTCAAATCTTTTAATAATTAAACAATTTAAATCGATATCGCTACTAAATATACATTTAATTTTATTTAATTCCTCGTCTTTTAAATAATTTTAGGTCCCTTAATTGCTTTCTCTATAATAATATTGTCGCCGTTCGTATTTAAATATAAGAAGTATAAAAAGAATTCGAAATATCTGAAGCTAAATTCGCTACCGCCCTATATAATATTAAACGTTGTAATAATAATATTACTATAATCTAAATTTAAACCCTCCTCTACGTATAGGAAATAGTTAAGAATTATAATAAGGTTATTAATAACTTCCATAATAATTACGCTGACGAATTCAAAACTATCTATAATATTTATTCTAATATCGTTAATTCCCTTAATAACAATATTATTATATAAAATAAAAATTCGCCGACTTTCGTACTAATTCTAAAAAAGCGTATAAGAAGCAACGTAATAAATATTTAAAATATATTAATAACCTTTATTAATATTTTATCGCCGCCTCTAAAATAAAACCCGTCCCCGAGCCCGAAGCTGCTATCCCGCCCCTACCTCCTAAAAATCCTAATAATAACGAAGACCCTAAAATAATAACTTCTAATAACAATAACGGCTATAGGTCGGTAATGTATATTATTATATCTTCCGCTTTCAATAGTAAAAGTACTTCTATTAAGCGTACTACTAAATATTATACTTAGCGTCTCCGTATTAAATCAATTTAAATTAATAAATTAAAGATCTTTATTACGGAACGTATTAAATTTTCGTTAATTGCCCGTTCTATTGAAGGCTCTCCCTTCAAAATTATCGAAATCGAATCTAATAAAATCCTTACTAACGAGCCCGCAAAATAGAATATAACCCTCGAACTATTTAACGAACTTAATAAAAAATATAATAATAGTAATATTATAATATATTCTTATTACGAATTAAAAGAATTAAAAATAATTAAAATAATAAAATAATAAAATTTTAAGGAGAAATTTACCTTCTTTATCGATCGTTATAGTTTCAATGATAATATAAAGATTTATTACCTTCGTTAAAAGATTAACGAATATATTCGTATTACTTTCGCTTATTAGAATAATTAGCCCGCTAATAATAAATACGAAGAATAGTTTACTAAAAGTCTGCAATTTAATTAAGAACCTAAAAAATAAGGATTAGTATAAGAAGAACGCTAACCCCTTTTATAAAATTAATACCGCTACCGGTGCCGGTATTAACGCCTCTACCCCCGAAGCTAATATTAATTAAAGCAGTAACGTTATAGACTTCAACGCTATATCCGCTTCCGATATCTAACTCTTTCATATAATTAATAATAAAATTTTCAAATTCTATATAAAGAACAGAATATATACTGTAACGGGTCTGCAAGAGTAAGGCACAGCGAGCAGTCGTGTAAGGTTGAAATGCTATATTTGATAAGGAAAGAAAGAGAGGAAAGATTGCACTAGAAGGGTATAGTCGAAAGAAGGTTTTGTATAATTAGTACTAAGATCGTATAGGTTAGGTAAGTATGTAGGTCTAATTAATTAAAAGGTTTATATCTTTATTGATAAGGTAGGGATTCTATTAATAAGGTAGGATACGGTTTAGTAATAATTAAATTTAACCTTTAGGCTTTAGCCCTATAATACTACCCCCTTACTCCCCCTTAGGAAGTTCGGTCTACCCTTCTAAAGAGTGTAGTCTACTGTATAAAGTATTGAGTAGCTAATTATATGAAGATAACGAAATTTATTAATGACCGTTCCTAACTAAATGCTTATTTGAATAGGGAAGAAATTAATAGTATT